TCAATTATTTTTTTCTTTTGAAGTAGTCTACAGTCCCTTAATATTTATAGTGGTTTGCCACCTCTGAATATGCCCAGTTTGTGACTGTTTCTCTTTAAGAATGGTGGCGTGAGGCCAGCAGATGGCATAGTGATTACATCACTGGACTCCCACATGACCAACCACGGTTCGAGTCCCAGACCTAGTGGCTTCAAACTCATCCTGGGCATGCCCAGGAAGAGAATGGAGAAGAGACTGTGGCATGGCCACCCCCCAGGGAGTGATTTCTGTCTCTCCGTTGAGTGCCCTCACCCTATAGCAAAAATCTCTCCAAAAGAAAAAAAAAAAAGAAAAGAAAAAGAATAATGACCTGAGGACACATAATGATATTAGACATATGATAGATCATTGTTGATTAGACTTATGTATTAAATAGTGATGTTTACTAGAGATTACCATAGAATCACATGGACATGTAGATAATTTAAAAGTGGTGAAACCAAGCTATCACAAGCAAGGCCTTGAAGGTATAAAAGGCAACCAAAGAGCACAGCAGGCGATCAAAGGCTGGATGTGGAGCCTCACCTACCATGCAAATGATCTTAGAGAACGGATTTCCCACTACATTATTTCATGATGAGATGATGCATAAGGCTGACAAATTAATTGCTCCCTCAGAGCTATCACTGAGTCCCAAGCAGGGCTTCAGGGAATGGGAAAAGAACTTCCAGGAAGGCAATCCAGGGAGAGTGAGTGGGTACAGGTCTCAACTATGCAAACACTATGAGATTCAAATCCTTATAAATAGGAAAGCCGAAGGTCCTTTGGCTGGAGCACACTGTGCCCTGCTCATAAACAGTAAATGTGAGGCCTTTGAAAACTTGACTGCATTCCCAGATGAACCGTGTGAGACTTCAATCCACGTCTCCCTGTTAGCCTCTGCCCCTCACAGACAAATGGGTCTCCACACAGGGGCCTCACTGCTCTGTGAGAACTTCTTTTTCCTGACATGGACTTAAAAATCGAACGAGATTATAGAATCACAATCTATCATGTCTAATCATAGGCAAGGACAAGAGAACTCTGAGAGTTTTGCTGACCATGGAGAGGAAATGAAATGCTCACAGGAATTTGAGTTGCTCGAAGAGACTAGTCAGATGTAACTAGAATTAGGACCAAGTGAGATCGTCAGGAGCATTTCTCTCTCAGAATGCGACTGTTTCTTTCTTTACTGTCTTCTGTTTTTACCCAGTTCTAGGGTGGTATGTGAGTGGCACTCTCTGGCTGGTCATTCTCTTCAGGGATGTTTCCCAGTGGCACTTGCCACAGCTCATGACTGATATTCCTGTGTCAAATGTGGCTTTACAGCTTGAAGGCTCCTGCACTGGAGCTGATAGTAGGTCTAGTATCAAATGAATGGCAACGCTCATTGTATCGTCCACAAAACTAAGTGAGATATTAACTACATAGTCTCTGAAGGCTGGAAATGGCCAAGAAGACCTGAGACATGAAGACCTGAGTGGTGTGAGGCCACCTGGAAGGGTGCCAGCACCTAGCAGTGGAACAGGCTGTCTTAGAAAGCAGAGACAGAGGGGAACCGGCAGTTAGCGTAATGGCTATGTCGCTGGACTTCCACGTAGTCGACCGCGGTTCGTGTCCCGGACCCGGTGGCTTAAAACTCGCGCCGGGCGTGTGTGCGTGCGTGCCCAAGATCCTGAGAGGAGAATGGAGGAGAAGGGATTGCAGTGTGACCATCCCCCCTGGGGGGTGATTTCTCGCTTTCTGTCTCTATGTCTCTCTCT